CCTTCTTTTTTTGAAGCGAGTGGTTGAAGCAAATGCATCTTAAGAGCCCCCTGGTGGCTGAAGAAAATAATCCACGTATAAACTGCACCGGACTATAAGCCGCATGGTTCAAAGTTCAGGAAAAAAGTTGCGGCTTATAGTCCGAAAAATACGGTAGTTACCAGAATTGATCRTTTTCTTTGTGAACATTTTTCCTGGATTCTAGAAACTGGATTGAAAATAATCTTTAATGAGCTTCTAGTTACTAGTAAACGGACTCATAAAGCTCTACCACACAGAGGCTCCAGCCTGCTTTAATAAGGTTTTAAATTTTTTGCAAAGGCAAATAAAGCACTTGAGCACAGATTTGTAGCCTTTTATTAGTTTCGATAATAGCTGAATAGGTCATTAAAATTGTCAGCTGTCAGTTTGAAGTGTTTTTGTCATCCTGCTGTAGTTGTTTGGTGGTTCTGTTCAGATAGTCTGAACTGTCTGAGCGCTCTTAGCAGAACCCATTAAGAACTTAGTGAGTGTTCAGCGTGGAGGAAGAGACAGCTTGGTGTTTCTGCCACTTCTCTCTGTTCGTTTAAAAACATCTGGGGGAACATGTGGTGCTCAGAAAACTGAATTAATGTGTTTGTCTTCCCCTTTGGGCCTTAATAGTTGGCAACCGAAATGTTGCAACTATTACAACCGTTACAACAATCCCTTTCATCTTTTTTTGTTCTTTTCCACCAGATGCAGAAGGTGAGCGCGCCGCCCTCCACAGACAGAGGTCTCTGCCCCACCGGCCGCCCGTCATCCCACTCGTAGCTCGCATGGCCGACCAGAACACATCCGGCACCCCGGTCATGACGGAGAGGGAAGCGTCCCGTTTGGATAAGTTCAAGCAGTTGTTGGGAGGACCCAACACAGATCTGGGTGAGTTTCCACATCCTGGTAAAGTTTGTCGCCAAGGTTTACTTAGAGTTCATGAGCGGCGCTCTGGTTAGCCTTTCTTTTTAAAGCTCCTTCACTTCTTCATTTTCTTGCTTTCTTCTGCGTCACATTCGGGCTGCCAGCTGTGCTGTGCTGTTAACGATGCTGTGAGGTGGGGGGGAGTCATCGAGCCATCTGGACATGCAGATTACAAGGCAGAAAAAAACCACCRGCAACAACAAAAGCAAATGACAGGCCTTTGTTGTGAGCAAACGACAGGCCTTTTATTGTTCCTCCAGCCCCAGAGACTTTAACCTCGTGGCCGTGAAACTCCTCCAGACCTCTTCCTCTTGAAGTTTGGCAGACTTGTTGCTTTTCTTTGTTTTAAGCAGATGAACTCAGATGAACTCCGTCATGTTTAGGCKGCCTTCAGGCCCAGGCCTTCCATGCAGAGATCTGTGATCTCAGTGGGATTTGTTTGCTTAAATTAAGGTTAATAATAATCATTTTAGTTCTCGTACAAGATGTCTGAGTGCAGATGCTGACCTAAAATTTGAGCTTCTGCTAGCAGACATCAGGCCTTGAAGTAAAGTTTTGTATTCAGTAACTCCACTTTTAGGCTTGTTAAAAGTTTTTGTAGCGTAAAGAAGGTAAAGTTTTCTGAAATCATTTCAGGGAGAGTAGAAAAGCAAAAACCTTGGCCGTAAAGTACATCTGTAAATGTTTAGCATTTAAAAGAAATGCAGTGTAGCATAATATTAAGGCTTGGATTTAAAGTTTCTTTTCTGTTTAATTAATAAAGCTGATATTAACGAGTTTAGTGACCTCAGTAAAGGAGTTGWATTCATGGAGTTTTTATCTTGACAATAAAATTTTGTGTCGCTTGTTGGACTAAAAGAAAAGGACCAGTATGTGACCCATCACATCAAAATGAGGATTAAGTGAAATTTGGACAAAATGACCGACCGTAATCACTTTTTCAGATTCCCGCTTTAAAAGCTAAGTTTTGATACCTGGATCATTGTGATATCATCAGCTTATCCAGAGATATGACTTAACTTGTCTTGTTGGTTACGAAAATACCTTACTGTTTGGTCTAAGTCCTAATTTTATGTAAATTTATTGAGTAATTTTTGATGTTAATATAAAGAGAAAACTGCAAATATTATTTGTATATTAAGATTTCCCAGTTGAAAAGAAACAAAAACATTTCTAACTCAGAGGGAAAAATTAAAAAAATTAAATGTGCTTTTCCTCAATCAGGTTTTTKGTTGCTACTGCTCAAAAAATGCTTCAAAAATGTTTTTAGGATTTTATTTCAGACAGCTCATTCAAATCATACATTGAAAAGTAAGGCATTAATTCATTATATTTTGACAAAATGTAATTTTTCCATGTTTAAATCAAAACCCTATATCTGCCTATTTTTCCACATTCCACTTTTGGACTTAATCCTTGTTTCAACGCGATGGGTCACATATAAGGAAAGCCTCTAAAGCAGTGGTTCCCAAACTTTTCAGCTTTTGACCCACAAAATTACAGTAGCAGAGACCTGAGCCCCCAACTATTTTTGGATGATAAACATTTGCATCAGGTCAACAAAACATGGGCATAGTAACAATATWTTTATACTACATTTATCCATTTTAAATAYACTAACCTCACTCMTTTGTAACAACTAAGGCGAAAATGTAATTAATTCAGAAAATCTTTTCAGGACCCCACCTTGATGTTTCGGGACCCCACTTTGGGTCCCGACCCCAACTTTGGGAAACAGTGCTCTAGAGTACATTATTTTAGAAATGGTCCTGTTTGTCAAACTCATTTTCACCAAGGGCCACATGAGCGTTATGTGGCCCTCAAAGGGCCAGTTGTAAATAACTTTGATGCTTCATGTTTAACTTTGACTAAACAGGAAACTTCACCATCCTCATCTCGTTGCTATGGCTGAGCACAGCTAACAATAACTGAGCCCTACCTGGTGTTTCCTGCATAGAAACAGTGTTTTAAAACATCCTCTTATAAACACTGGAAAGTACAACYGACTAAATGTGAAATAAATAATACAAAAATAATACTAAAAAAAGAGTTTTACTCACTGAGTTGTGGTGAGTAGCTGCCATCTTTGATTGTCTCCCATTTTCCTACAGGGAATTCCCATTCATAATCAACATGCATTATGGGAGATGTAGTTTATGGTCAATGCTAGGTTTACAGCAGCTCATTTTGAAACAATACTGTGCTATCCAGCTAAATTGTTCAATTCCTTAAAGCGAACAGCTCATGGGTAGCAGTAGTAGTAGTAGTAGTAGTAGTAGTAGTAGTAGTAGTAGTAGTAGAAGTAGTATCTTTCACCTTTTGAGATTTGTTTAATTTGTTGCATTTTATTATAAATCTATAAAAACTATTTTTATATTAGATGGTGAGCCAGGTGAGAGTCACCCACAGGCCACATTTGGCCCGTGGGCCTTGAGTTTGACACGTGGTCTAAATGGATGCTGATAATCTTAAAGCATAATTAACAGTTTACGTAGGTTTTTTAATTGTATTTACTTTTTCTGAATCTAACTGTGGGTTTAATTGACTAAAGATAAACTGCCTGGCATTAATCTGGGAAGTTACAATAAACAGTCCTGTTGTTGACCAGCTATTCCTATGATTCAATTTCTTTTTTTCTTTTTCTTTTTTTGTTTGTGAAACAAAAATCAGTTTGTCAAAACTGAGTTAAATCAGGTGGAAATAAAAAGCAAAACAGGAATAAGGTTGAATCCAAACTTACTGAACTTTTCTTGTAATTTAACTGAAAACCTTTGGATTGAATATTTTCCTTCAAGTTCAGCCTTTTTCTTCTTAGCCTGGTCTTACACATAAAACATCCCTTAAGATCTGTTAAACAGTCGCACAGATTTAACTAGAAGTTTAACAGTATATAAACCAAAACATGACATCATTATTTTTTGATAAATGCATCCATTGAGGAGTTTTTCATGAGCTCGAGGAACCACTTGATATCTTGAACAAGCAGTTATTGATTTTTCAGTATAAATTTGACTGGCAGGCAGTTTTTTCTACTTCATCAACCTGTTTTCAGTAGCATCACTCTACTTTCCTCCGCAGTGCTCTTCCAGCCGTATCACAATTAATGATTGCACTTCGGTTTTATGACACCAGAAAGTCTATAATTATGGAGCCGGGTCATGCATACAAGTTAAGTTGTCAGATCAGCCACTAAGCCGCAGTCATCGACATTAACTGTGGTCAGGATTAAAGTGTCCACACAACACAAATGTGTTTCTTCTTGGAAAGATTAAACACTCTTTGTTTAAATCAGCGGTGTTCTGATTTTATGTTAGAAGAAATCGATGTTTTTATGTAAAATCTTGCAACAAAGCCAATTCCCTCCACATTTTTAAAAATTCAGTTGATTATTTTTGTGTAGACCACTTAAAATTTGTGCACAAACTGGGAGCGAAAGTTCAAATCTTAAAATATGAATGCTGGATTTGATTAAACGTGAACAGCCTTTCGTCAGGACGCCGCTTCACTGCGTGAACACAAAATGCTTTTTGACTCGCCGCTGTTAGTCGACAGCGGTCGCGGCCGGTTCAAGCAAAGTGTATCTTGTACATCAGCGGTGCATCTTGATCCGTCAGCCTCCATTAGGGCCTGCCAGGCTTCACATGCTGACTGTCTAAATTTAGTTTAGCCCCCGCGCCATGATTAGATGGGCCAGAGGAGGCGAGCCGCGCTGCCGGCTGCTGGCAGCATGAAAGATGAACTTCATTCACGGGACATAATTAAGTGAAAGATCGGAGGAGGGAGGTGCAGAGAGGTGATGGGGGGAGGGGAGAAGGATGGGGCTGATAAGATAAGATGAAACTTTAATAATCCCTGTGGGGAAATTGGGTCGTTGCAGGACCCAAAGAACGGGACAAATGAGGATGTAAAAAGCCTAAAAAAAGTAATTGCRGATGTCTTTAAGTTGTTTAAACTTTGTGTACAAAAAGACAAAATAAAGAAGTATTTTCTTTGCTAGATGATACAACAATTTTCACTTAAGTTTAAGAGGGCAGACTCCTCTTGTGTTAAAGGGAAATTTGATGAACTGTCCTTCAGCTCACAGGACGAGGCCTGGGATGATCCATTAGCTGCTTCCTTAACTTGAGTGCTGTAATTAATTGTAAAGGATGCCATGTTTTTGGGCCGAGCCTCTTCCCGCCCAGCGTGTCAAACTCCTCTAAACCAGGTGTTCTTAACCTTTTTGACCTGAGGGCCCAATTTGTTGAACATAAAGTGGCACGAGGCCCAGTCAGACATTACTAATGTAT